TGAGCGGAGCTAACCACGTTTTCCCTCTTCTCCTTCCTCTTCTCTTCTTCCCCCTTCCCTCCCTCTTGTCTTTGCAGCAAATGGAGCTGCTTCTGGTGAATAAGCTGAAATGGAATCTGGCTGCAATGACCCCCCACGATTTCATTGAACATTTCCTTACTAAAATGCCTCTGGCAGAGGACACCAAGCAGATCATCCGTAAACATGCTCAGACTTTTGTGGCTCTGTGCGCTACAGGTATGAGCCCTGCACGTTAAGCAAAGCGTGTTGCTCCCCTACACGTGCCTACCCCCCGGCTTGTAAAGCCTCCCATAGCCGTGGTCTAAAGCGAGCTCAGAGAGCTGTGGGGAGGTAGTTTAAGCCCTGAATTGTTTGCAGAAGGTGGATTACTTTGCAGAGGTAAGTTTTTGCAGAAGATCCTTGGCTTCTGAGTTGTGTACGCGTGTTGTCAGGAAGGGAGGAGCACCCTCCTCGTTGTAGCTTAGCCATGGAGTCGCACTCGGCGTGGCACCGTTTCTTCACCTCTGCACCGGGTTTCATGTGGGCTGCAGAAGGCTTTACCACCCGTACGGGGAATCCTTCCTCGCGTGAATTCGTTCTTAAGGCAGTTGTTTTTTTAAAGGCGGAGGGAGATTTTGCTTCTGAGTAGCTCTGCGTGGGGGGTTTTAAAACTTCCCTCTTCACATTGCTTCTTCCTCCCCCCCCCCCCGCCCCTCCTGGAGGAGGGCGATGCTGCGCGGAGGCTCTGCTGGCACGGGACCGAGCCGCTGCCATCTGCACCCCTTGGACCACGTGCTGCGTGGAGCCATGTGCAGGGCCGGCCTCCAAAGACGCCGCTGACGGTTGGCTAGGCCAGGTTTGCAGAGGCCTGATCTTTGGTTTCAAGGGCACCGTGCGTGTGTGCGCGCGCCCGCCGGTTCTTTGAAGTTCCGTGTTTGCATGTGGACTCTGCGTGTGTGCGTTTGTACGTGCACTGGCTTTGCCCGCTGAACCCTAGCAAGTGAGAAGGGGAAAAAAAGGTTTAGAAGAGTCTTCCTGTTCTCTAGACCTCACTAGTCCCACGGGACAGATTGGAGGAGCAGGGACAAAAGACATTCTAGAGGGAAGATCCTCTGTTTAAGCAAAACGAGTTCAGCACATTTTCTTTTGAGTACGGTGAGACCGATCCAGGAATGGCAAAAGAATAAGGAAGAAAGAGCAGCCAAAGCAAATGTTCTTTCGCAGTAGCACGTAAAGAGGAATGCCAGACACTCTGTTGACACTGATAAAAACTTAGTGTAATGGAGATACAGTGCTTTAGTAAACGCTAATATTCGGTGGCAGTTGTGCTAAAAAAAGGGATCAAGCCTGCGTTTGGACTTGAGAAGAGAGATCCACACTTGAAAACCTCAGTGGGATGTGCGTGTGGTCAATGGCACAAATTAATGTTGTGTAGTTTATTTTTCCAGAGATGGATTTGGTATAAAAAGATTGAAGAAAGACTGCAGGCACTCGGAAGAAAAAAAATTATTTCACGGGATCAGCCCTACTGCAAGGCCTAAAGATAGAACAACCAAGCCAAAAAAGAGAAATTTATAAACACTGGCATTGCTCTTCATCTTGGGCCTAACATCAGCATAGCAGGCAGTTCGTAAATTAAGATTGCCTGCAATAATGCTCAGTGTTCGGAGCGGTACAACCATCAAAACAGCCTTCAAACTACCTGCAGCAACATTTTGGGAAAATCACACGTTAACTCCATGCCAGATCCTACCCGATTAGGCTGCTGCGCCACCTCAAATATGTGATTTGCTAAGTCTGAAGCTTCTCTGTCCGTGAGCTAAAAAGAACAGCTCCCTGGCCTCCCCTTTGGATGTGGGGATGTTTAACCTAGGTTTTTGTGTTGACAATGACAGGGATGAAAACGAGTAGTTCAAAGGTTGGAGACTTGCTAAGAGTCCAGTACTTTGATCTACTGTCGGTGTTGTTATGTTGCTTTTAGGAAGCACATCCAGAGCCTTTATTTAACGCTGCTACACACCACAGCAGGAGAATGGATCAGCAAATGAGAACCGTGTTCTGGGAGTTTTACTTAGCTTTTAAAAGAAACAGTGCTGAGCTCATCAGAATTGGGGCCCTCTTCAGCTCCCTACTGAAGTTGGGAATATTGCCTGGGGAAGGAACGCTCAGGAAGGCTGCCACTAGGCTCTGTGTTTTTATTGTTATTTTTGGATGTCAGGATTTTCCCTACCTCTTGCTTTTCCCCATGACTTCTTTGTTGGCTAGTGAAGATCGCATGTGGCTTAAGTAGCATCTGGACTTTGCTTTGCTGTTGCTGGGTTGTGTTGTATTTCCCCTTGCCAAAATGAACCTAGATGGACCGCGAGCACGTTGGTGCTGCCTGGATGCTGTGGGGCCCAGTCCAAAGTCCACTGGAAATACTGACACTCGCTTAAGCGGCCTCAGGGGCAAGGGCAGTATATCCTCTGCTCGACGTACAGCCGGTGTCCTCTGCAGTAAAGGAGGGTCTCCTAAGAAGGGATGGCAAAATAATGCTTAGAAAGTAAAATCTCCGCCAGTTGGCTTAACCAGGTGAGGGCAGTGGAAGTGTTTGGAGATGAGCGTGTATGTGTTTGTTCCAGAAAGAGAAGGTTACGCTGCAAGGTGAAGTTGAGGGGAATTCCTCCTAAGCTCCCTCTTCAGTTGTCTGGCTAGTAGAAGTGGATTTGTTTGATTTGGTTTAGTTTTGAAAAATCCATTTTCACCAAAGGATGTCTTCGTGCTGTGGTGGGTTCGGGAGAAAAAGCAAAAAAAAAAATATAAAAAAAATTACCAGGGGTTGTTTGAAGTTAACACATAATTGAGCTTAATGAATGGGGCTTTGGCATGGCCGAGCAAGGCAGGGAGAGCTCAAAAGGAAGCAGGCCTCTTTTGGCCCAAGTTAAGACCAGTGTTGAGGGAGAACTGCAGCTCTATACAAGCATAACAATGAATAGAAACAAATATTGGAGCCTCAGCATTTCATTATGTTCCTCTGGTTATCAAAACATACCAGGCTCCCTTTATATTATTATTATTGCTGTTATTATTGTTGTTGCTTTCCTCCTCTCCAATGGAGAAAGAAAGATCCCCCTTTGAAACAAGCGTGTTACAATTCTCCTATTCTCTGGCCTTTATAAAATTGGAAGTCTCAAGGTATGTGACCAGTTGGAACCTGTTGCATCTTGCAGCAAGTGATTTATGTTCGCAGTTTTGATTTGCCTCAATGAAAAGATTTTCATTCATAGCCCCCAGCTCTCCAGACGGATGGAATTGCTGCTCCATTTAAAAAGGAAAAGGGGTGACTCGCCTTGTTAGGAATTTTTTTTAAAGCGCTGCAGCGCCTATATGCCTGCTTTGTCCTCCCTTCAGGGTGGCTGGCATTCTTCTCTCTCCTCCCCCTCTCTCTCTCTCCCTCTCTCTCTCTTTTTAACAACGCTGAAGTTGTTTATTCTTTTTGGATGAAGTCTCAGATAGGCTACTGGGGATGTGTGCTTCAATTGATGGGGCCCCCTACCCCATTGTGGCTGTGTCAGGTCTAATTCATCTCACCGAAGCCCCCTTGTTCCTGAGCGCTCAATAGCGCAAGATGAGGCGATGGAGGCTGACAATGATGCCACACTCTTCACTTGGGGGCATCCAATTACAGGCGAGAGGGGCCCCCTGATTAATATGCTGAAATTAGTGGCCTCTGCCACAAATAATTCCTTGTTGAGTTGCAACAAAAAGGCAGTCCATGCTGCTTGTCTGGAGTGGTTATAGGGACAGACACAAACTGGTCATTTAAACTTCATTATCACTTTTCCACCTTGGAAAGAATGAGGGTGTGACTATGAATTCATGTTCTTGTTTACTGCTCCATTTAAAAGAAGAACGCAAATATTAATCCCAAACGTGATCCTGTCAGGACAGACTCATTAAACTGACACATTTTGGTCATGTCCTGTTTGTGGAGCTCGGTAAATAGTGTCGCGAACGCGCTGCCACCGTTACCCCTCCGAGCGACCCAGTCTTGGTAGAATTCATGCTTGCCTACTGAAACCCCGCATTTCTGCAGTCCACCTACAGCTGCGTAGCGGCATTTCAGTGAGGGGACCGCCTTTGGAATGTGTAGAGGGTCAATAAGCGGTCTGGACTACTCAGATTTTTGGGAATGACAGAAGCTTGCTAGAAGGTGGGAGTACTCGTATCTGCCCGGAAACGGACAATTAGGAAGAGGGGATAAATTAAACTAATTTTAAGCATGGCTTCAGGTGAAGCATGCCTTTTCGCTGGCAGCGCGTCACAAAAGTTTGGCCACGGTTCATCCTTTCGGTTTAATTTTGAAGGCTCATAGAACGCTGGGTGAAATGCCCCTTTGAAGGTGGGTATTGGTCAGGGCTACAATGGAGTGACAGAGGTATATGAATAGATTCAGAGAGAGGACTTTCATAGAGACCCAAAGTCTTTAGTTTCACTGGTAAAACATTTACACAAAAGTTATTTTATCATAATAAAGGAGATGCATGATTTAATACTTAAAACTGTTCAACTGAGCCCTCTAAGCTTCCCATTCCTTTGATTTCATTCAAAGGTTTGACAGATGGTTTATATTTTTTCAGCCCAGAGGAAGTTGTATTCTGATAAAAGCTGAAGGAATGTATCTCAGGTTCTTGTGTATAATGTGGCGTTTCCCTTTCTTCCTCACAAAATTAGACGTTTACTTGTGCCACTTACTTCCTTTTGTTTCTGATTCCTCTCCAAGGTGTACACTGCCACAGATCAAACGCATTCCTGGTCGGCAGAAAGAGTCTTAGCATGAAAATGTGGATTATTCTTATTAAAAAACACCAACAAAACAAAATAGAAAAAAAAACCCAAACCAAAACAAAACTGAAAACATGCTAAACGGCAGAGATAGCCCCTTAAGGAATCATGGGAGTGGCTTTGTGGAGAGACCTACAGCAATGCAGTCTGGAAGGGGGCCCAGCCTCTTGTCAGCATGGTGTCACATCAGAATGTAACTGATTGTCCGCCAATTCTTGGGACCCCCGTCACTTAGTTATGCCACATTTACATTAAATCCCTGTTGCCAGGATGGATGGCAGCCACTGACAAGAGACTAGGTTGAGACAAAGCATTTTTAAGATGAAACCTTAATTTAAATATGGATTATCTGCCTCCTGACGGGGTTAAGCAGTCTTTCTCTTTCTTTCTTTTTGTTGATGTTGTTCATTAAGGCTATATTCCTTTGAATGTCAGTGCAAGGTTTCTGCTTTAAAGGGCCCAAGGACTCCTTATTAGAGTGCACCTAGGAGCTGATCACGCGAAACACTTGAGAATGCCACAGGTTTTCTCAGATGTATAGTGCCATTGACCCCGGTGGCATTATTCACACGAGCAAAGTATTTTAACATTTGAAGAACGGGGGGCCCCGCTTATGATAAATATACCTCGAAGTGATGAATGGCCTCCCAGGCTGAGTGCTAGGACGGGCTACTCGCTGAAGTAGAGTCGCTCCTGTGGGATAAGCGTGTACAGGAGGCACCTTTCTGCTCACGGTTTTCCCTGCCTTTTCCGAAGCAGCAGTTGGCAGCTGAAGCCGTGCTGGTAGAAGAGCGTATGTGTACAGGCAGGCTTCTCCTAAAGCAATCATTTCAGTCTTTTTTTTTTTTTTCTCTCTCTTCTTTCTTCATACAGATATTAAATTTATTTCAAACCCACCTTCCATGATCGCAGCTGGCAGTGTGGTAGCAGCTGTGCAAGGCCTGCATCTGGGGAACACTAACACTTTCCTCTCCTATCAATGCCTCACACATTTCCTATCACAAGTTATCAAATGTGATCCGGTAAGTGACTCTTTCTCTTGGTTGATCTCCTACCTTAGAGTTTAAGAATTTCTTGAATGCCTGCTTACTGCGTAGTAGCTAATCTGACAGTAAATCTTGATACAACTTGAACTACAGAGTGGAGGTTTTTGAATGTGTTCTCTGGTGTCTGTCCTGGTTGTTTAGCTGCTGTTACACCCATTAATAATCTGTGATTATGCTGCTGCAGTTTGCTGATAGCAATGCCACATCCAGCTCTAATGTTTGTAAGAGAGGCGTATCGGACAAAGCAGTGGAAACCCTGCATCGATTTAGGACATGGCAGAGGCCGTGTTTGGTTGTAGGTAATTAAACCAGGAGTCCATGTAAAAACAAAACTTGGAAAATAAGATGAGGAAATAGTTACCGAGACCTCGTGGTATCTCTGACCTTATCTTTGACCATTCTTGAGGCCTTTTATTGTGCCAAGTGGTGTGAAAAAGCCCTTCTTAAAAGAGTTCTAATGATCTAATTTGGTTTATTGCGTGCTAGACCTGCACAGTAGCTGGTATTGAATTCCTTTTTGGAACAAATGCTTGTCCCACGACTTTCTGACAAGGTAGATGGTCCTCACAGGACTCTGATTTTGCCCTGCAGCTTCCAGGAGATGCACATCAGTAACTAGTGAGCAATAAACCTTTCATGAGTGAATGGGCCAGGAAGGGAGCCTACAAGGAAGACCTAAAGTCAATGATCCATGTCATAATGGTGTGTGAAGTTGGGGCAGAGTTGAGCTTTGTTTTGTAACAATGTGGAAGACCAATAAATAGATGCTTTAAAAAGGTTCTTGTGAGGTCTCCAAGCGCTGGACAATGAGTCAAATAAAGACAACTCTGCGGTTAGCGGCAGAATCTTTGAGATGCTGTTCAATTATTTTACACGTTCATAATTTAAATACATAGAGAGCATAGTCCAGACACTGCAAAACTAGGTTTGTATAACTGGGCTTTGTTGACAGGATTGTGTGATTTCTGGAAAGATGAATGCATCACAATTATCGACAAAAGAATATTTTAATTTTGATGGGCTATGTGAAACAACTGCTGTCAAATATGGTATCTCGGCTTATTATTTTGATCACCGTAACAATGCCTCAGTATTGAGCACGTTATTTTTGCCATTTATGTCACTGCAATTAAAGTAATATGGATCCAGTGCTGAAATGTTAAATACTCTAAGAATTTCAAATGCTGAAATAAAATGCCGCTCAGTTTCGTATGTACATGGAATGCTTTTAGTCAGCTTGTGAACAATGTAGATATTTCAGTGTATGGTTGGCTACAATCCAGAGCAGGTACCAAGGAAAACTACCAGGCTCACTATCTGTTCTGACAGTATCTCATTCAAATAACATTATTTAATCATTCCTGATACAGAGCATTGAAGTAGATTTTCTCACATCTTGAGAGAACAACAGCATGTCCTTATGTGACTTGACTTAGTTGATGACAGAGTGCTTTTAGAAGAAAAGAAAGTAGTTTTAGCAAGGAGGAGAATTCTTGCTTTTTTTTTTTTTTATTGTCCAGAGTCATTGCAAGACCACACAATCTGACTGAACAGCTTTAAAAGGAAGTAGCTGCCCTCCAGTCTTCGTTGCTAAATAAATTTATGTGCTAGAGCAGCTAGGGCTAGAAGTTAATTTTTTTGGTAAAATGTTGTGTATTTATACGTATGCTGTTGTGTTCATAATGGAATAAGGGGATAGACTGTTTGACTACTATTGCTCTGAGCAGAGAAAACAGTTTGGTTTCATACAGAGATAGCACGAAACCCCTGCATAAAGATTTTCCTGTAAGATGTGCCCATGTAATCCACAGCAAATGCTGTTCCTCTTACCTTATTTCACTAGCACGTAGACAAAGTTTGTTACTTCAGCGTGATGGTTCCCCTTGTCAGGTTGCACAAATGAAGACACTTTATATTGGACTGTCTTGAAATATTAAGAGCAGGCATTAGAAGATGGCTAACATTCTCCCTGATGATCTGTTAGCTAGAGCAGCTGGTCTGTTGGATTTCAGGTTCTATAATTACACTTTTTTACCTTGAGTCTCAAAGAAAGCTGAATCTCAAGTAAAATGAATATCACCTGATTGGAATTCCTTTATGGTTCATGTTTACCTTGGTAGGAGTCCAATTTCCCATTTTGCCTTTGATCAGGGGTAATTAGAAGTCAGATAATCACAATTGGAAGTCTTGGGCTGTCTTCCATCATTCTATTCTTGACCCCATCATCCAAACGGATTGAATTTTACCTGACATTCATTTCCAGGCCAGAAGTTTGCTAAACTAGGTTAGATTGGGTTTCCATGCTGTCTGTTAGTACATTGGAATTCGTCTCCTGCCTGCCCCTACTCAGAGGCACCTTCAAACATGTGCTTGTTATCCACAGCGGGTCAGGCAGTAACAAAGGATTGCCAAGCAGTTCTTTTTTGTTGTTGTTTGTTTCCCTTAGTATCTGACCCTGGAGTCTGATCATGTCTCTGTGTGTTAAAGGTATTTGACCACATCAGTTAAGCTAGCAAGTAGCGGGGTTTTTTGTTGTTTTTTTTTTTTTTTTTCTTCACTGAGCTTAATTAATCCAGGAAGGGTTTATGACCTTGAACAAACTGTGGGCATTGAAAATTTGGGTAGTGAAGCAGAAAATTTGGGAGAAGTTTGATCAGAGTAATGCACAAGTTTTGTATTTGCTTTTCAGTGTTGAGACATAATGAAAAAAGCTTTGGGGAAGTTGTTCACAGTGAATTTTATATTCTGCAGTTATTTTTGCTAGCTCTAATACATTCCCACAGACAAACTATTCATCTAGTAGTCATCTGAATGAAAAAGGAACAAAAATGCCTAAAACACTAAAAAAAATATTGTGCGTTCAACTGTAGCCTAAGATATAGTCTGTTCATAATAAATTGTAAAGGTTATGTTTTAAAAAAAATAGAGCTACAACATGCTGTACTCTGAGAATCACACAGGGAAAAAATAGTTCTGCGGTCAGAAATTGCCTTTGAATTACATAGTCCTATGTAATTATGCATCACTAGACTCCAGAGGGAGAAGACGAGGTATTTGTAGAAATTCTGTGGAATGGTTTTAGTTTTCAGAGCTCGAACATGCTACATGCAAATGGTTAGGATTTTTTGGAGGGGGGGGAAAAAAAGCCACAAAAAACCACCAAACAATCCATCCCCAAAAAAGCCAACGGGGTTCGCTTTGCTCTGAAAAGAAATTGGCTTTCAATTTGGAACGCTGAACATGCTACCTTGTTAAAACAGAATTATCCTCAGAAGTGCCTGGATTTGTAAAACCAAAAATACCCAAAGCCGTATTCGTACATTTAATTCCAAGAGTGACGGAGGTACGTGGTGCAGGACATACAAGTAGAAGCCTCACAGTCAGGATTGATCCGTCCTGTCTTGAGACGGGGTGAAAGGACTTCATAGAGACCTTATTGTGAAGGCCAGAGGTATGCAGGAGCCGAAGGCCTGATGACTTCAGGATATGAGGCGTTTCTTTTTGTCATTTAAAACGCTGTGTGTCTCTGTCAAGAGGAAATATTACACTAGGGTTTAAACCAGAAAAGGTCATAGGTTATGTGTTTTCAGTGAGCTGTAACTGATGGTCTGATCTGCTTAGAGGTAGGATTAACCTCCCTCTCTCTCAGAAAGGACTTGCAGAGAATTGTTTGCTTGGGTTTCTAATCTTATTTTACCCCAAATGCCATGTGCCCTTATTGGTGGCAGAGGAGATTCTTGTGGTAGTGGAATCAGTGAAAAGCTGGTAGATCACACAAGAAGCTTCTGAATGAAGGCAGAATTGAAACTGGGAAATAAAGAAAACAGCAGGCAGGTCACCCTCTCAGGAAAACAACATTCATTCTCAGTCATGCACATCCTAACACTTTTGACGGCAATTTATCATGGAAGACTGGGTTCACCGCAAGGGCTAACACATGTCATAGGTTAAATCAGAAAAGGCAATACTGAAAGGAAACTTCAAAGTCCTTAATACACCGAGTTAAATACGTTTGGAAAAAGCTTATGGTGTTTGTTATAAAGATAGGAGTAAACAGCACGCTGGAGGAATTTTGGCAAAATGTCGCGCGATTGTTTTGCCTGTTTAAGGCACCATTTGTGTCGTTGCAATGGCTCTGGAGAGCACACCCGTAACTTGCAGAAAGTTGAGCAGGTTGAGCTTATGGGCCTTCTCCAGTTCTAACTGCTGTGGATCCACAGGTAGAATTGGGTATATCGACTCATGCTGGGGGGCAAGTTACCTTTCCCCGCAGGAGACATGATCCTGCTCAGTCCTTTCTGCCTTTCCTTCACACCGAAATCTGTGCAAGCAGCAAGGCCCTCGCACCCTCCCGAACCCTCGGCGGGGTGGTGTGTGCATTCAGCTTAGAAAATGCTTTGAAGCAAGGGAAAGAGATCTCCCCCTGACAGAAATTTCAAGGTGAATGCAGTAGCAAACTGAAAGCTGGGCAGCACTTCATGGTTACAAAGACGCTTAGCGATGCTTCTCAAAGGTCTCCTCATTCTGGGGTCATATAGTGTGGTATATTTTTCCAGCCAGATGCTCTTTCCGAGTTAGAAATGGGTTAGCTAACTTGAGCTGCCCACTGCTGGACACAGCAGCTGCTGGCGGGCAACTTCGGTCATGTACATCTAAATATATATATGGTACTTCTACCTAAGAGTTCATATTGTCAGAACTTGGCCTGAGAGAATCACTGTCGATGACCATCAGTTCTAGTAGACTGTTTTGCCAAAATGTTTCTGTGGTAAAAGCAGAAATCGCGGACCAACCCTGACTTCAGCCCAGTGTCATGCCGTTGCACCTCCGCTCCTTTAATTTTAATTGATTCACGCTGCTGACAAGAAAAACAAGAACTTTTTTTTTCAAAAGGCATAAAGGACAGTGAAGTAAAAGCTGCTATGAATGGACTTCCACAGAACTGCTGAAGTGTGAACAGCACGGGCAGAAAAGTAGTGGCACAAGCTACCATACCTTAGGGTGTCGGGGTCCTGCCCGGGTTAGTTACTGTAACTCGTGTCCATCCTGTTCAGGCGTAGAACCACGGGCTGAGGCTGACAACTAAACCACAGTCACGGTTTGTCTGGAGAACCCCATATGGAGATGCCATTAAACAGAAGATGGCAAGAGTTAGTTACCCAAGTGTGGATCCAGGCTGGCATCCCGCAGAAAACGGGGCAGCTCAGAGTTGCTCCTGCTCTTCCCACGCTCCTTTCAGGCTGCTGCCCTCCCGAATAACTTTGATTCTATTTCTCGTGCTTTTGTCAAGAAAGAGTCGTTGGTCTGTGATCTTGCTATTTTTTCTAAAGGACTCTGGGTCTTTTTCTCCTTCCATCTGATCTTCTCTAGGATTGTTTACGAGCCTGCCAAGAACAGATTGAATCCCTCCTTGAATCCAGTCTACGTCAGGCACAGCAGCACAACGTATCTTCAGAAACAAAGACTGTAGAGGATGAAGCAGACCTTTCCTGCACACCTACTGATGTGCGAGATGTGAACATTTAAGAGGACTTCTTCTAATGGGTTTGCTTGGTGAGAAAAGCAGACAAAGAAAGGGCATCTGAGAAGGAATCAGCATCAGGATCTCCCCCCCAGAAACCCTTTTCTCCAGGACATTTTTATACCAGAAGGGAAAACCAGTCTTGTTATATTTTTTCTTGCTCTGTCTCCCTTCCATCTGTGACTTCAAACAAACAAATAAACAAAAAATACCCCAAAAACTGTCTTAAAAAAAGAAAAAAATAGTATTTGCATTACCCCCAGGGGTTTGTGCTACAAAAATAGAGGATTTTATACAATAATAATCAACTAGTTTTTATATTAAAGTGTTCTTGTCTGTATGTTGTAAAAATAGGCATTAACACACAAAATGTCTCCAGGGGAGGTATTAGATTTGATTTCTTACATATAAAACCAACCAACCAACCATTTTTAAAGTAGAAGAGGTCTTTTTTTTTTTTGATAGTAAATGAAATACTCTTTTTTTTTCCTTTAAAAAGCATAGCTTTAACGCAGTTCTAGGCTTTTCTGTATCTTGCTTGCTTATGCATTTAGTCACTTTATAATTCATCTGTAAATGTTTATTTTATTTCTTTAGGTTTTTTTTTTTTATCCTCTTCACCTTATAAATGGTTAAAGTAACCCATAAGTTAGTGTATGTTAGTATGCAGCATTATTATATGTTAATCTTTTTTTTGTGCCTGTGGATTGCCTGTGCATAAGGCATTTGTAGGGTTCCAGCTTAGCATTGTTGGGAAAGGCCAATGTACTACTCATACGATACTCTATTGTAAAGAGAAACCGGAATAGTGACATAATATATTATATTTTTGTAATCTTCATATTTTTGTAGTTACCTGTGTAAAAAATGCTGGTCTGACCCCACAGATATTCAGCCTAATTACGGTCAGGTTCAATCCACAGTTCAGTCTTTTTGTTTTTATTTTTGTTTGTTTGTAATATTCTAAAACCATTCCATTCAAAGCACTTTCAGTCCATTAGATATAGGAAATACATTCTTTTATTGTGTGGGAATTTTTTTTTTTAATGGAATGGTTTGGAAATATATAAGTGCTTGTTCGCAAACTTGGAATTGCAAAGCAAGTGCATTTAACTATGGTGTTAGAGGAGAGGTGATTTTTTTTTTTCCGAAGGTTGTGTTCCAGTGAGAGAAATTGCATTCACAAATTGCCAGGATATCTTCCTATCCTTTTCTAGAGAAAAGCTGAAGTTTAGAATCCTTTGGTGCCAACTCATCTTTATAAATTAGGGGCCTTAAAGGTTCATATATAGTACACATAGTTTAAGGATTGTCGCTAGATGTTTTACAACTGAAGGTTTTTAAACACTAAAATATATAATTTATAGTTAAGGCTAAAAAGAATATTTATTGCAGAGGATGTTCGTAAGGCCAGTATGATTTGTAAAATAATGCAATCGCCCCTTTTTTTTAAAAAAAATAATCTTTCTGCCCTTGATGTCACAGTTCTAACACAGCTTATTACAGAAAAAAGGACACGCTTCAGAGACCAAACCCAAAAGCACGCAGTCGATTTGGCCCCTTCCTATACATTTTCAAAAGCAGTCTAACCATGAAAAAAACGCCATAGTTAATAGATATGAAAATTGGAGTACTTGAAAGAAGTTCTTATTCCAGTATATGCCCCATTTTTTTTTATTTAGCTACAAATAGAAAATTTGCACATCTTGGCTATGTATCTTTTTATTATTATTTTAGAAAGTAGCTGAAGGGATGTGGACATAGCTGTTGAAGTTGATGCTCGAGGAGAATGTGATGGTGAAATGTATGTGAGAAAACTGCCGCTAAGGTGTTGATTGTAAAAAAACAAAACGACAACGAAAAAAAAAGACAAAAAAAGGAAAAAAGAAAAAATCAAAAAAAAAAAAGAAAAAGAGAAAAGAGAAAAGAAAAGGAGTGGATGCTCCATTTTTATTGAGCTGCTATGGATAAATTCCCAGCATGGTTTGAAAAAAAATTAACATTGCTTTTCTGTATCTTTGTCATTGTGTTTTGCTGCTATTTTGTGGATCAGTTTTTTTTTTTTTCTCGTTTTGTTATACAATGTCATATACTGCCATGTTATAGGTTTTAATTTTCTCATAGAAAATTATATTATTGACATCATTTTTTTTGGTAGATTTTTTATGTGATCAATTTTTACTTAATGTGATTACTGCTCTATTCCAAAAAGGTTCCTGTTTCACAATACCTCATACTTCAGTTAACCGTGTCTAGACCAGGTTTTAATGTTCGTACACAGTGCCTCATAGTTCTACTGCAAACGGAAATGCATCGAACGTTATTCTGAATGGGTCTCGCGATTCGCAACTAGGTTGCATTAATTTAAAACCAGCAGACATTTCAGAAGATCAAATAATGTCGTGGGGTTTTTTTTTTTTTGGTTGTTGTTATGCATTTTATAAAGCTGGATTCTTTGTCTGATCTGGGGTTTATTATCATAGTAGTTTTAAGCTGTGTTATTAGCCACATTGATATATGAAAGGTGCATTATAATATAACTCTTGTATGCCACCTGATGTGGTTTCCCGTCACCTGGGACACATCATTTGGTATAATAGGTTATCTTCTGGAACTCTAAGTATTTTGTGTGTTTAATCTGTTATGATATACTAGGGTTTTTTGTTTTGTTTTGTTTTTTTTTAATTATAGCATAATGCTAATTTAAAAAGCCTGTAAATCTCATAAATAAGCCAGCTAACAGAGTTGTATGCTGAAGAATAATCTAGCTGTTGCCTGTATGCTGCTAAACCAAAACAGAATTAGAACTCATTTTGAGGCAAATGCAGTTAAGATCCTACATAGTGCAGAAATAAAGCATTGCAATGCTACTAGCAGTCGCAGGACCCAGGAGGACTGGATACATTCTGTCCAAATTTCAGGAACATTTCTTACTGCTTACCTCATAAGACACTTCTGTTTGTGGCATCTCTGTTTCTCTGAACCAAACGATTTTTGAGTTAGTGCTTGTCGGTTGTATTATGTGTTACACTGAGTGGCAGTGTATACTGCAAATTTCTTTAAAACACTGCATGTACTAAAAGGCCAAATCCAGATAAGTGGGTTCACGTGCCAACAGAGATGCTTTATTTGTCACATTATTATAACAATCTGTAGTAAGCAAGCAATTCAGATTTGTACATTTTTATGTTGTACTTATTGGCATCACTGGTCTGAAATGCACATTTTCACCAACAGACCTGTAACAGACAAGTTTCCAGCAAAAAAAAAAACCAAACCACCTAAAATCTAGAAATAAAATTGGTAAAACCCAGCGTCTGCGTGTCTTTTTTTTTTTAAATTGTCTTCATGAATGCTGAATGGTAGTAACTACTGATACAGTGAGTAAACCACAGGACATTTTCTGGTTTTGACTCTCTCTGCTTTAGTAGTCGCAATGCTGAAAACATGTTGATATTTTAGGAAACCGTAGGTGTTTTCAGCAATGAGTGGGTGACTGCCCGTCACAGTACCGTGTATTTTTAAAGCAGCAAAATATTTTTTTTTGCTGAAGACTTTCTCTTAAACACTTAAGGTAATTACACAGAATAAACCATTTGGTGCTTCTTGCCAATAAAAGGAAAAATAAAGTAAGTATTGGATGGTGCAGAATGCTTGTTTGTATTTATTTATCAGTGTAAGGGTTTGGGTCCTGGAATAGCTTTACAGAAGATAAATTTGTTTGGAAAGCACTTAGGTTAACCTGCCTTCTTTTCCATCCCTTCCCCTCATACACAGATTTTGCATCTTACTATTGTATCCCTTTGAGAGTAAGGAATAAACCTGAAAAATGTAAACACCTACAAAAAACCTCCCAAAACTGGATCTAGAAGAGTGAAAACTGTGTGATTCTGAAGTAAAATTAAAAAAAAAATTACAAACTGCCTCAATTCACATTCCAAAATATCTCTGAAAATTGGAGATGCACATTATCAATTGTTACCAGAGCTGAACACAGCAGAAACAGATTATTCTAAGTGGAGATGGCAAAGTTTCTAACCCATGTATTTGACCCATTCTGCCTTAAAAAAAAATCTACAGAAAAATGTCAAGTGGTCATCTCCTGTGGCAAATGAGAAATCACCTGCCCCCTAAGTATCCCATCGACTAAACTTCACATTATGACTGATTCTGTGCAGTAAGTACAGCAAAGGAAATGAAAAACGAAACTTCCAAGGTTAACACCCAAGAGTCTAGAGCAAAATAGGTTTGTCTTGGTGCAGTACCCAATAGATGGGAAACCATCTGCACCAGAAGAATCCCAGTTAAGCCTGGATGAGTGGGCCAGCTCCCCAGTCATTTCAGACTGTCAGATTAGACATCAGGGAGGTCAAGTAACTGGAGCACATGGTGCCATCTGTCATTTTTTCCATCCGAAATGGGCAGGTCCTCAATATGGGCAAGTTACACTGGTAGGGCACCAGAGGATTTGTGAAACAGCAAAAGAACACCTCAGTAAGATTCACAAGGACTTTAAATACAGATCAAGCCAAAGTTTAAATTTGCATCGGTCCAAAATGACTTTTTTTTCCCCTCATACAGATATTTTATTAGTTTTCTGCAAAATTTCAGCATATTTTAAAGAAAAATCAGGAAGGGCTCACTTTAGTATCACGGATGGCTAACCTCTCTGATTTTAAATGTCTAAAAAGTGAGTGAAGACATACTTAGGACACCAAATCATTTGAGACAAAAACCTTTTTGTTGAGAAAAAAAAATTATTCAGTAAGAGATTTAAGCCTACATTTTGTTGAACATGTGAAGTGGGGTTTGCCTTTTCTATCTCTTTTATGAACTCTATTAAACTGACTGAAGTGTTCTGTGACTTAAGTAGGTTTCACCCCCCATAGTCAGCTCTTAGTTACGTTTTCCTTCTCTCAAACATCATTTCTAAACGCAGACTACTAAATTTGAATGTTGGGTGAGCTATGCCAGTATTACTCACATTGCAAAGGGCAGAAAGACAAGAATGTAGCTAGAAAAACAATTTACTATAGGCTGTAAAAAATATGCATGTTCAGCTAGGCTATGCTGTAGCTTATTAAAGGGAAAAATACTGTATTTTCTTACAGCAGATTGAGTCGTATACCCAGAAAAACCCCAGTTCCATTGCTGAATTCAGACTGATTGACAAGCTTGAACCTTTTATGAACACTTAAGTTCACATATTCTTTATTAAAGAATAAGTGAGGTCTGTTAAATTTAAAACAATTACCCTTACATTCAAGCGTACCCCGCATATTAAGTGATAGAAAATTCCAGAAAGTAGAGGTGAAAGTGAATCTTGGAGCTTTTATTTCAAAGGAGTCATAGGAATGACCCAGGCATGTGGGCTAGATACCCTAATAAAGATTCCTGGCAACGCCACTGAAAAGCTACAATGAGACTAAAGCTGTAAAGCTATAAATGATGGCATTTTAATGAATTCCTGCCAGCATCATTTTATGG